ATATATATATATATATGAGATTGTACCAAATGACAGATCAAATTTATCTGTTCTCGGAATGAAATCGATTAAACCAAAATCAAAATCTACTCTAGTTGAATCCAAATCAAAACCATGTAGATTTGGACCGTTCATGCCATGTCAAAATTTCATCTAAATAACAGTGAAGTGGGTCACTTAGATTTACCGCGTTAGCTTTGACTGATTCACCCAGATTTAACTTTTTATGTTTTTCTTTTAAATTTATCTCATAACATTAATCAAGAAACTGCTTTGAAATTTGATCAATGTGATTACCCATTCTCTTTATTCTTTACCTTCTTTCTTTGACTTCCCTGCTTTTCTTTATTTTTACTCTGTTTTATTTGTTGATTTACATTATAGATATCCTTGCAGAGTTTCTAGTACAAGTATTTATTACTGGAGTTTCTGGTTCAATATCAAATTAGTACTTTTATTTATTTTTTATTTTATTTTATATATTTGGGTATCTATAAATAAACACTCTATGTATACATTCAGATAGATTAAAATGCATTATTGATTGAATAAAATAAACCCTAGTTCTCTTTAAGATCAAATGGGTCACCATTGTTCCGGTGATTTTGTGGGTTGCTCTATGTGTATAAAAAAAATGTATTTGATATTTTTATATTTTAAAAACTTTAATGAATGGACAAACAATCATTGAATTTGAAAATCTCAATGGTATATCAAATACGATTGTGGTGTTTTCTAAAACTATTTTTGTTTAAAAATATATTAAAATAATTTTTAAAATTTTTTAACATCTACAATATTAAAATTATAAAAAAAACATTAAAAACACAATAATTCTTTTTTTCAGAACAAATATATTTAAAAAAATATTCAAAAACATAAATTATCAAACTCTCAAACAAATTCATAACAAGCCAAGCCACCATGGACCATGTTAACTAGCAATCTACAACTCATGTTTACAACATTGATTCTCGACAGAAAATGAAGCTTTTTACATCATCCTTTCTTGGTGTTACTTTGCACTCTTAGAAGTCGCTTCAGTGTCATACATCTTTTCAAAAAAATTCACACAAGCATCAATCTATACCCAAAAAAACTAAGTCCTTTTACACCATGTCCTAAACCATGATGCCCGATCAGTGAGATTTCTTCCCTTAATCATAGCAGTTTCTTGTTTCTGATCTCAACCTTGTGCGTTCCATCTGCTGCATCAGGGTCAACGCTAGCCATAACTAGTCTCTCGTTTTTGGTTCTAGGCCTCATTGGTTCTGATAGCTGCTCTAGCGATTTCTTTCTACATTACACTGCTTGGCCTCGAGCTTCAAGCTGCAGCATCCAGTCCTTTCTGCTTCTTGAGCTGCTCCTTGGCCTCCATCAAGGCCCTGCCCACTTCTTCATCCTCCGGGGCTTCATTTTGCAACATCTCATAATCCTTGATTGAAACTTCCCATTTTCCCAACTATTTCAGTGAAGCAAACATTAGACATTATCAAACCAAAGTTGACATCATCTAAATTGCTGCAAAAAATAAAAGCTATCTATCACATGTCAAAACATGCTGTACAAACTAATGAAGCAAGCATTAGACATTATCAAACCAAATTTGACATCATCTAAATTGCTCCAAAAAATAAAAGCTATCCATCACATGTCAAAACATGCTGTACAAACTAAATATAGTCACCTTTGCATAGCAATCAGCTCTTCTCAGTCTGGCCTTTGCGTAACCTGGGCGCACAGTAAGGGCAGCGTTGCAATCCTCCACTGCTTTTTCATACTGGCCAAGCTTGGACCGGCAGGCAGCTCGATTGCATAACAACACTGAGTTGTAGGGATCATGCTCAAGTCCCTCACTATATGCATTACATGCCTCATAAAATTTTCCTGCCTTAAAAAGCTGGTTGCCATGTGATCGAGCTGCAGCTACAGCTTTAGCCTTTTTCAACACCGTATATGCTTCCTTGTTGTTAGAGTCAAGCCTTGTTGCTCGTTGTGCCGTGGCCAGAGCATCATCAAATCTGTTAATCCAGAGGTTAAAAGCTTTATTAACTCGATAAACAATAAGGACAATTAACCGATTCATTCCTTCAATTATATTGGGACTAAACTAGGTTAGCGCATAAAAGCTGGCATTAATTATTTCAATTAGACAGGCTCAGTTATAGTCAAATATATGTTTTGGCTAGAACGTGAACCCCATTAATAGTAGTCAACAATTGAAACCTGTCAAGTTCACGTGAGAAGTGTTCAACATATCATTAATTAACAATCTATAAGAAGATTTTTGAATAAAGCTGTGTTATTTCGCAAATACTTTTTACATCAGTTTTATTTTGCTAATTTTTAATTTTCTATACTAATAAGCGAAAATACCATTGAAAAGCATGTCTTTTGTTTAAAAAAAAAAAAACCTGCTTTTACCATAAAAGCTTAGGTGCAAAATCAAAGCATTTAACCCAAACAATCATTAGGGAATAGTTGAGCAAGTTGGTGACTGGTGGGTAAGTGGTCAGATTTTTCCTTGACTTTGTATGTGTTTTGGTTCCACTTTTTACCAGCAAAAATATGCCTTTTGAGCTGTTCCTCAACACCAGATTACAGCCATTCCTTTCTTTTTATTATTTAAGAGCCTATGCAATCATTTACTACGCTCTCATGCAAATTGACACCTCTAATGCAATTCTAATAATGTGTGACTATGTAACACAGATCACTAACCTGCCAATAGCCATGTCAACCTGAGCTCGTACCATTAACAAATTTGCGTTGCCAATTGGACCAAAAAATTGTGTACAGGCATCCACGTCAAAATTTGGACCCTTTTGCAATGCTTCGTCGGCCTCTTGGTGCCTATGAAGCTTTATCAAGGCCTCAGCTTGCAATGCATATATCTATATTAGACACACAACTAGTTTAGAAAGCATGGCAGTATTTAATATTTGAACGTGTTCAATGAAAACTAGGTGGATTACTTGCAGTGCTGAATCTGAACCAGCAGATATGGTAGCCGCAGTCTCCTTGATCAAGGTGTTCCAATCTCGATGTCTACGAGCCACATACCACATGTTGAGATGGGCTTGAAGAGCTTGAGCGTTTGAAATGTCAGCATGATCAGCTTCTGGCCCTGCACGTTTGTAGTGATATATAGCCTTTTCTGCCTCGCCTAATCTATGAACACATAAAAATTTCACCAATGGAAAGAAAAAACACCGTATAAAATTAGCATGGCACTAAATTGAATTAGAGTTCCCTGGCAATTAATGGTATTTTTTTTTTTACCTGAGATGCAAGTTTGCTAAACGATGATGAGCTCTATGATAATGGGGTTCAATTCGAATGGCTTCTCTGCACTCGAAAACTGCCTCGAGAATTTTACCTAGAGCTGTTAATGCTGCGCTTCTGTTGCTCCGATAAGAAGCCTTGTTAGGATCAATCGAGATTGCTGCATCATACAAAGCCAATGCCTCTGCAAAATTCCCATTCTTGTAATCCTCATTCCCCATAATTTTAAGCTGCTCAGGGTCCATTCTAGTAGAGAGAGCCCTGCATAAAGAACCGGCAGCAGGCTGCGCACCTACGTTTGGTTTCTCTTCATTCTGTTTCTTCACTACATTTCCCATTACACTATTTGGGTATTTCCCATTAGGAGTTGCAACGTCTTCTCTTGCGGTCTTAGGAAGGTAATCAAGAACATCACGAGAAGTCGTATTTCCTCCCCCCCCTCCCTGCCTCAAGTTGCCTAAATTGCCAAGGAGCATCACATTGCTGGATGAAGCACGAACAAGCGTGCTGCTTCCTTTAGATTTCTGATGATCAGAGATATAGCTTTCGAGCTCACCCGAAAGACCAACTGCCTCCTTAGGAACCCTCCTACCATGTTTAACATGAGCATTTTGATTACCATAACCTTGATTTTGATTAGCATGACCTTGATCAGATGATATTTTGGTTGCGTCCTCTTGAAGTTTTCTACCGTAGTTTTGGTTCTTTGAAGGAGGGATCTTGGGATGCATGGGAGCTTTTGTGATAGATTTTCGCTGCTCTTCTGCTATGCCAGACGGATTGCCTAGAAATGCAGCCTCATCTGAGCCACTCCTTCGCCTCTTTGGCGTGCTAGGTGTTTTGGTGAAATTGGCTGCATTCATTGTACTAATTGAACCCGTGGATGTTGATCTTCTTGGCCAAAAAACTCTTCGACCAAAAACCGCTGAAAATAGGCCGCAACCTGCAGATTTCTTTTCGGGCGACAAGTCTCCCATATTCTTTTATGACCTTTGAGCCTCTCTCCTCAAGTCTTACAGGCAATGCAGCTTCTATGGTAGAGAAGGTTGGCACATTTTTAAACCAACAAAGACACAGAACATTGCTAGCTATTTAGCTA